CATCTACCCCGAGGCGGGACGCTTCACCACCACGGCGATGGCTGAGGGCGCGCTGGACGGCGACGCCTCGATGTACGAGGTGCCCTCGCCATACGCGACGGACTTCAAGTTCTCGCGCTTCGACGCGGAGCCGCTCGCGACGCCGGTCCCCGCCCTGCTGCTGGCCGACATGAGCACGGCGGTGCAGAGCGACGGCCATTAGTGCCTGTGGGACCCCCGCAACGTGTCTGTGACACCTCACCAAAAAGTGTCGCTCCTCATCGCAAACCCAGTCCGCCTTCGGGCACCGCGCTTCCACTTGCCACCGGCACCCTCCGGACCCAGTAAAGTGACGCGGGGTGTCACGCCAGTGAGGTAAGGTAAAGGTAAGGTACACTTCTCCAAACACACGAGGTGGTGGGGCAAGGGGGGGCAACCCTCGCGTCTCCACGTCTGACGACAGGAGCCCCACGGCATTCAAAGTCGGCAAGGCCCAGTGCGCGTGGGTGAGCTGGCTGAGGCTCCCCTCGTCGGACGTCGCCTCGTTGAGTGTACGTTGAAGGCTGGAGTCAGAGAGAGGCGCTATGTCCACATACAAAAACAATTTGAGTGGAAACGAAAATAAGTGCTAACTCAACGGCGGCCGTTATCTACTCGAGCATGTTCATCAAGTCGTCGTCATCGAATTGATCGTCATCCTCCGCCGCCACGAGCCAAGCGAGCCGCGCGTCGCCGGAGGCGAGAAGCGCCGCGTCGACGGACGCCGCCCGCGCCGCCACGAGCGACTCCCGCAGCCGCGCGGTGTCGTTGCTCTTCATGGCGGCGGCGAGGGAGTCAGCGGCGCGCGCCTGCTCGGCCGCCACCTCGAGGACCGCGTTGTCGTCATCCTCGTCGACAATGGTACCTGGGCCGTACTCGTCCTCGTTTGCAAAGACAAACTCGGCCTGCAGCGAGGGGTCGGGGCTAAGGTATGTGAATGCAAGACAACACCACGCGCCGCCGTGAGTGGCGAACGCCTGAGCGTCATCCTCGTCGCTATCGCTGTCCGGAGCCTCCCATAACTCCGCGGCCTCAGTCCGCTTCACCTTCTTCTCTCGCCTGCTGCCGCCCATGCCGCCTTCGGCCCCCGCCATCCCCG